CGTGGGCTGGTACGCCATAACTGGATTTCATTGTGCAGACAACAGAAAAACGGGCTTGGAGTGAAGCCAGTGCATCTACCTATTATTATTATTATTATTATTATTATTATTATTATTATTATTATTATTATTATTACTAAGCGGAAACATCTGTAGCAAAGATAGATGACCGCAATTTAGATTTGGATACACTTACATATTCTCACCAGAATGTGGCCTGAGATCACTTTACGTACAATCTAAGGATCATAAACAAATGGAAAACAGTATCAAGCAATGGAGAAGCTCGTAGTTATTATTTCTCATTTGATCTAGATTGTTTATTTTTTTTGAGTGACCTTGTCTTTGCTCACATTGTACTTAACTATCGATTGTCACCACGGAAAAATCAGCGAAGTGAGTCCTTAAAACAACAGTTTTATTCCAACGATTCTGGATATGATGTCTACAGTCGCAAATACTTGATTGTATCGTGTGAACATCTAATTAATATTTTATTTTATGTAAACGGGTAAAAATTACAGTAGAATATAATGAACCCTTCACATTGCCCTTCGCTTCGTAGACTCGTTGCTAGATAAGGGTTAAATAGATACCAGAACTATTAACCTCACCAGGGATACGAATGGTCAACTATATCTATTAATAGAGTACATAGCTTGTCTCTAAGCAAATATAATAGTAATAAGTGATCATGTAGTATTAAAATAGAGCTGAGCGAAATCTGTCACAAAATCTGAACAATCATATTATGTCTTCCTCTTCACAAGGTCAGCTATCCGTTCGCGAGCCGTGTCAGAGATTTACGCGTTTATAAAAAAAAGTAAGTATCTCTGCAGAGGGCGTCCACTCTCTGTTCTGCCTACTGCAGGTTATAACAGAACACGAAGGATCCATTCAGCACTGGGCCTTGTCAGCATATAAGCTAGGCTAATACTTCTTAAGTCAATGATGTGCAACGGTAATGCAGTTAGCGAGTACCCTGCGCCTCCTTTGCACCCCTAATTTGCCCCTTTGGGCTGCTAATGGAGTTGCATGTTAAATCGCTGAAATTCAGGGAATCACATCAAAATCGCTTACTGCCAAATAAATTAACAACGAAAACCTATGACGTGACTCGGTCTGATATAAGAAAGTCTAACCATAGCTTTGCCTAACTTTTCGTTCAACCGGAAGGCAACACTTAACCTAGCCGGAAGGTTAGTATTCTTCAAACGGATGAGACCGAGATCGCGAGCCTGAAAAAAAATCTAAAATAGGAAGTTTATTAACTGAATAAGGTGGGTCCTAGTGGACGTCACTATCATTATCAGCACCGTTTTTATCAGCTTCGTGTCCAAATAAACGATTGGTCTAGGATGTATACAATGCGTAATGGTATTATCTCTACGTATCTGCGGCTGTTAATAATAATGACGATACGCAATGAATACAAGCGATACAACTCAAATACACATAGGTACATACAAATAGGACTCATATAGTCACTATGCATACAGGCGTTATTGGGCTTTCAGTCTTATATTTTCACAGTGATCATTCGTTTGCTGGGCATGCGACCCACCTACTAAACATTACAAAAATACAATATAAAATTGTTTTGCCGCATACGTATATGCACCCGCAAACAACAGTTAGCTTTCAGCTTAACAGGTTGAATTGCCTTAGCTATATTCTGACACAGTTGTTTCCGGATTCCACAATCCAATGCTTTTGTATGTTGAAGTTCCTCTGACGTCTATATGTAACAGCGACACCACTGATGTTACTTTTACCACTATTATGTAAACAGACGTGTGCCAAAGCAACTGCATTATATGCAATACGATACAAAAAATTCAATTTATTTCTATTTTATGCTCGCGTTGTTGTAGCTAAACGAATGCAACAAATAAGCAAGCTTGCCGTTTGCGACTTGAGTCCTTGTCATTGCCAGATTTTTCGTGTTAAGGATGCATTGCAAGCGACTCACCCGATCGTTAATTCTACGAATATGGTTTTACTCTAGTAGATCTGAAGGAGCACTTACATAATGGACGGGCAAATATAGCAATGTAGAACATGACGGATTTCAGCTAATTATTGCAAGCATAAAACTCTCCCCTGTCCTAATTGGATTTCGTCTGCGTTGTTTTCTCACTTTTCTCCATTTTGTTTGCTTTCTCCCTCGCTGTATTTAGGTCGCTAGGTTAGTGTAGGCGGCACTTTCGTTTTATCAGGAAAATGATAATAGTTTTCAAAAAAATATTCTTTTTTAGCAAATAAGTAACCCTTTCGACTTACACGTTTATATATATATATATACATCGACTCGCATGGTAGTTAAGGTCTTGGTAAGATCATTTAGGTTGGAGTAAACCGTAACTGGATAATCTCTTTTTTGTTTGTTGAGGTTTCTAATTATTCGCTATTCTTTTTTTATGCTTTGTAATTAAACATTTTTAATTTGTACAGGAGTACCGTGATTGATATATTCAGTTTTATCTGAAGATACGCATAAATGTTATCGACGGTGAACTTGTCCGCAGAGTCGTCTTTAGAAATGTCCTAAACAAAGCTAATTCTCTTTAGGCTATTTCTAAACTTCGCGCCAAAGCAAACTGTAGAATGTCCAATAGGCTATTTAGATTCATAGCACTTTATTAATTAACAGTTGCAGCAACCGGCAGTGGACAAAACTGAGAGGCTCAATATTATGTTTTTGCGAAGAATTGCCGAAACACTGCACTTCTTGCTCCTGACGGGACTTATCTACCCTTCAGCCTACGATATAGGCCCTAGTTGAGCCTCTTCGGCTCATACAAAGTCATCGTCAAAGAAATTGTGCTTTAATATTTCGTCAGTCGCTACTCACACCAGTGTAGAAAAAAAACTCGTGAGAACTAATCTAGTTCTATGTCCATGCCCCAAGAGCGTCTCGAGTTCGAAATCTCTGAGAATGGAATCTATCTCTTGTAATAATTGTAGTATTTTTTTGCAATGTTTGCGATCATGATAAAGTATAACCAATTTCCTTGAAAAAACTATTCAGTGCTGACCAGCACGACCTTTAGACAGATTCAGCATGTGCGGCTGGCCGAAACCGAAAGCACGACTTCGATTGCGCATTGTTCGATCTTTCGAGGTCGTTTGAAAGCGCTTCTCTCGACCTCGACTGAATTCTAAGTTGTGCAAAGTTTAGGTCGACAGTCTAAAGTTTGCTTTAGATGTGGTAATCTTGCGGAGCGGCATATTAGAATGAGAGCAAATACCAGTTTACCGGAAGTGCTACGTGAACCTTGTACGTCCATCACTGTCCTACGTATTTATTTTCGACATCAAAGGAATGACTTCTAAGAGCGTATTTGACAAACTGAATGCTGTTTATCTAGGATTAGATAGTTCTTAGGGTGCAACGGAATTACTACGATACAAAATTGACGTGGTGATGAGGATGGTCAAGGTGGTAGTGATGACAACGAAACGGTAATCTCAGAACCAATATGTGCGGTTTTATCATGTAATCAAGTCGACTTCGTACAAGCTTAAAATGGCTCTTATATGCCCATAAAGCAAACAATGATATAAGAGTTATTGTAAGCCCACTTCTATATTTTAAATACGCCGAACTTGTAGCGCGATTTGCCGTTGTTTCATTCCTATAGAGAGTGAATTTTATGTCATACCGTACAATATTTTAGTTTACTGGTTGAAGATAGGGCGTCCAATGTTCAAATAATATGTACAAAATTTCTTGCACCGCATTCAGGTCAAGAGTTGTTGCGCTAACACCAATGAGTAAAGTGTCTGATGCAGCTGATATTAAAATAATTCCAAAACTAGGAAAACTTTATGTGATAGATCACTCTCTAAATTTCTAAACAAGCAACTTACGCGGTGCATTGGAAACAATTTTAGGTGAGGGCTGATTTGTTCCGAGATAAAGAACCCTTGCTCCTAATAATCACAATAATGTAATTATTTGTCCACCCAATTTCGAGCTGCGTATATCTCATCAAATTATGTCAGGGGTGTTAGTTTCTCGTATGTAATTTTGCTTGTTAATCCTCAGTAGAGCAAATAATTTTCGAAAATATTCTTGCCGTCTAGCGGCTCGTAACGATAATGATAAGTCATTGCTTTCGAACCGTGCTTGCCATCGCATAGATGAGGTCGCACTTCGTACTTTTATTTGCTTTGTTTTTTTTTTACTTTATTTACTTATTCAGACAGACTTGTTTCATAGTGGTCGAGATAATCAATTGTGGTGCCCTTTGAAAGAAGAGAATCAAGGTGATGAATAGTCCATAGATTTCATAGTTGTATATTCCCTAGCTATTTTCAGATCTATTTTATTAGCGCTCGTATTTTATTCTGAAGGGCCTTTCAGTATGTGCAAATAAATCTTCTCACCTCTAGGCACATATTCGATTTCATAGTTTTTAAAATCGTAAATAAACAGTATAGAAACCTGGTGGTTTCTTTTTATATATTAGGCTCATAGGAACACCAAAAACCGATGTCCGCGCATCTAACTAATCCAATATTCAAATGCTATTGCAGACCTAATTTTTAGACAGACATTAGCTAAATGTTACGGAACGATTAATTAGACAGATGTAAAGGTCTACGTAGTATCTAAACATCTGTACAGTTTTCGCAATAGGCTACCTAGTTTTCATGGGCCGAACGATTTGGGGGCTTGTGCTTGGTGCACGGAATCATCTGGGTCTCTCCGTTGGAACGTTTGACGTGGTTCTTTACTGGAATAGAACAATAGACGGTCGCAATTCATATGCTAATACTATTTAGCTCTTTTCTGTAATGTATCGACAACATGCTAGGGCGGCTGTACATGTGTATGCGTATACGTCAGCAACAGCCTGCTATTTGTATTAACTATTCTCTACGTAAAACATAGATGAGTGACTCTGGCCTAACTGGTCTTTTACTCATCGTTGGACGTCGCTGCAGGGTCCTATAACTACGCGTTTGTTTTAATTATCACTTCAGAGAAGTAGCACGTATGCTGTTCTGTCGAAATTTGACAGCTGCCTTGGGCTTGAATTAAAAGCTGGCCAAACAAGTACATCGAAGAAGGTGGGCGTATGTTTATAACTTTAAGAAAAACCTATTTCCATGTCGGAAAATAGACTTTACTTTAGTAGAATACTCTTGATATTAATACAATTGTATACTATAGATATATGTCACTGGCCTAGCACTTGTCGTGTTACCATGAACAATTTCCACTCAAGTCTGTCTAGGGCCAAATGGTAGTTACGAAAACTACTCCCCCGGAAGCCATTGGTAAGGTGGGGAAGATAAGATAATTCACCGAACGCGGAATATTATCTCCCAGGAGATCTATGGAAAACACTGAATATAAGCATCTCATACAGATACCATTTGGAAAAAGATGATTTCTGAAAATGATTCGGGATGCTGTAACGTGTCAATATCATTTCGGCTCTTGGAAATTCTTATTGGCGTCTAACATATACCCTGCTTTTTTTTTGCTGTAAAGTTTTAAGATAAATCCTACGTAGCATACGGTAATGATAGTATCGCTAGAGAAGTGCTTTCAAATTGCTACGGAAAGCGCCTAGAAAAGCTACTATTTGAATGGCCTAGCCCTGGCTGCGATCACTGCTGCAACCCGGTTTGCCGTACGCCGAATGCATTTTCGTCACGTGCGCATCTTGAGACCCCGCTTAGAGTAACATACTCTAGAGCTATGGGACGTCTGTGATCTCCTGTCCGGCTCTGACTCACCCTCTAATACACGGTCACACATTTTGACCGGATTCAGGTCGGATGCATTTTCAAGCTATACATATGATATAACAGAATTTCAATACCATTAGCAATAAGCGCCTTATGTACACACTCTGCACTCTGCCATTCCTTAACGCAATTAACAAGCCTTTACGTAACGGCCTTTTTGTAGCTCTGTCATAATGGTCCTGTCTCCTCGCTGCATTGTGCACTGATTTCGATTTTTACTTCCTTTTTGTTCTTGATGAAAGAACCACCTTATCATTTATTTTCTGGCCTATACTGTCAACTTCACAGTTCAATATTTCGACCCATTCAGCAAGTTCTCTTCAACAAACTCTAGCTGCTGAAGTCCACTGCTGGTGCGTGAGCTTTTTTCCTAAGCCCATTACGAATTCGTGTATAGCCCCAAAGGAGCGACAATTCTTGAAATTAATTTTTGAATAATCTATGGTCGCGACAGCGTCGTTGTCGTTGTCATTGAATAGACGGAAGTAACAACACCTTTTGCACTACATCTCGAATCATCTATCCCTACCCACGAACGAAAGAGGACCAAATTGAGCACCTGAATTGTGCGTAATAATTCAAATGTTTGTATATTTTTGTGGTGAACAATCATTGCAGGACACGTCCCAGTGGGGGCCTTTTCTTCGACAGCAGTCAAGAAATGCTCTTCCAGCACCAGTGTCGTTATATTGCTATCACCAGAAAATGGAAGGAGGCGGCTTTTACATGAAACTGCATGCACATATTTGGTTCGAGTGCGGAGGTCAAACCCGGCAATGCGTAAAATTTCTAGACGACCTTATTTGATTGGCTACTGACTATGTGTATACGGTTTCGTATGATAACTCAGGACAATATATAAGAGTAAGCATTACTTTTATATAAGTTGATGCCGACGCAGCTAACTCTCACCCGATAGTATTAATAGTAGTAATTAAAAAATGAATTTGGCTTACACCACCACTCACCCGACGCATCGTGCATTGTAATACGGATTTTATTCATGTACAATAAGTGAACTAGATAGTAAATGAAACCGAAATAAGCGATAAGTATCCAACATTGCTACAAAATTTCTTTACCATTTTCGGCGGGATGGCATCGTAGCATGCTCTAGCAGATGTAAATAGATGACCTCGTTTTTATGCATGATACCTCCTCTCTAAGCTTTACTTTTCGCCTTCCCCATCGCGCTTAGTAATGAAGATAATGCTGCTGCTGCTGCTGCTACCTCTGTCCCTGTTATTACCGTGAAAGCTTACGTGGTTTACCAGTGTCTGCACGTTACAGAAGATTTCTGGCACTAACAATTAGCTATCGGCTGGTGCAGTAGTTCCGCCATCCGGTCATGTAACTCAGACCGGTAAGCTTCTCACTCAACAGTGAACACTTTGTGTGCATCCTTTCGATCTAGATCGCTCCGAGAAGCGAGGCCTTTACGTGAGCTGGTTTTATGTCATACGAGTACAGCGCCTATGCCTTCTAATGCGAAGATATATAGATATTTCGTTTACGTATATGGATAGTTTTCTTTGTTAACGCCTTCATGATTTTTCGCCATACACAACCGAATAAAAAGTTCCAACTAAGGCCCGGGCCTAATTACAAGTCCATCATGTATCGTAACATTTGTACTCTAAACGTTCGCTGTTTATAGATAGACATTTTTTTTATAGAGCATTAATAGGTTAAAGTCACCTATATGTACGGTCATGTGTGAGTTTCCGCTCACTTTTGTTACCTTAGCATATATACATATCAAACGAAACGTCCTCAATACGCCATATTTTTTTTCTTTCCAATGTACTGCTGTCTAATGCTCTCTAGACTACAATTGCAGTGGAACCAAATATCCGAAGAAACTGGTTTTAGAACATAAGCACAAAGCACCAGAAAAATATCCATAGGCTTTTTACATAGCACAAGTATTTCCAATAAATCGTAATTATCGGTATTCCGTTTTTGTTCCGGCTTTGTAATCTTTCGTCCTCAAGAATCAGTACACGGCGCTATTTTATACTCATTTAAAATTAACAAAAGTGTGTTTACTGCAAAGCAATGTGTAAAAAATAGTTCTGGTACCATTAATGTATTTCGATCCGAACAAACCAACTGGAACACATTTCTGTACTATTAATTGGATCGCGTTTAACAACAGCTAAAGGCATATTGCTATCCTCTGGTAAGTCGTATTTGAATATTTGTTTGCCAGACTAGAAGCCACTTGCTAAAAGGCTCAAACAGCGTTCAGCAGAAAGATGCCAACCTAGGCATTCTATTACTCAAACCTAATATTCGCAGTACCTCTAACGCATATATATACATATACTATATACATATACTGGGAAACTAGGTCTAGCGTTTTTAACCCGATGCTTTTATTAAGTTACTATGCGCGAGATAATCAGCAAAAGCGTTGCTGTTAAGCTGCGTCATAAAGTATTTTCTTAAGTATCGCAATCTTTTGGATATTTTTGCTCGAGAACAGGTACGCATTTTGATAACGTATAAGAGAAACTAAAACTTAAAATTAACCCTGCTTGTATTGCAAATTGTGATGTCGTGGTTCACCTCACCTATATAAATAGGCTTTTCTATATGTAATATACTTTGTACGAAAATCACTTGTATGTAAAATTTTAAGCAAATAGTCATCCCATATCAAGATGATGCTTTTATTGAATTCAGTCTTTAGAGAAGACCTGAATTATTTACAATAAACAAGCAAGGGTGAAATACAACTAGTATATAGGACACGAATGACCCGACCTACTATTCGACCTTCATTTGGCATGTCCAATAAAATAAACAGTGCTTTCTTCTTGTTGGTTTTTATTTGTTTTCATTCAACTTCACATAAAGGTGACACAGAAATATCTAGATTTTTTTTAAGAGGTTCGGGCAATTGTTTCAGTATGGTATAAAATTACCTATTAGAGAGAAACAGCTTTGGCCGGAATGAATTCACCTACGGACGCGTCCGTTTGTCGCCAGTATTCTTTTAGCGTTGTTAAAAGATACCGAAATATGACTTTGTAGGAAACCCGGGTAGCGTTTCTTTGCAGCTTAGGATATAAACCAGCTGATATGTTCGGTAAACCCAAATACTTTCAGTCTTCATAAATTAATCATTTGAAAAGGGGCCATATTGATAACGGCTACATAATCAATTCACTGGTGAACATATGTTAAGTGTAAACAAAGGTTGACTCTCAGAAACACCTCTCATCCGCTCATCCATTGCCAACCAATGGTTTTTGGCATGCATGAAAAAGCCCCTATAAAATGTTACTTTCTAAAATTTACTGTTTTTTCAAACGTCTTTTAACTGTTAACTTTAATTAAATTGAACTGTCCTTATCACAGTAAAATATTCTTAAGTATACATGTAAAAAATGCAACCAGTATCAAGAAAAAAAAATATATATATATATATATATATATATATATATATATATGTATATATATATATAGTGAACAACAACTATTATTCCTTTTCTAACTTGGCTAGCGGAAGGCAATGGCGTAATTGCAGGCCGATTCGAAAATCTGTCGCATCGATAAATACTGGGCTTACTGGGCGCTTCGGAAATGTTCAATACCCAATTTCACCGATACAGACACGACGCGATAAAGGAAATGCTCAACTTAGCTTTCAAGAAAACTGCCTAGAAGGAGTCGTTTTTGGCTTGAATAATTACAATCTGCGAATAATTAGTATATACTAGTTTCAGCAATTCCCCATCCTAATTCATGTGAGCCTTTCTCACATTGACCTTTGTACTGAACAATAGCATCGCAAACGCTTAAACTACTAATTAGTTAAAAACTACTTAGTTCATCTGTCCGGAAAGTAGACTAACGTGTAGAACGATGTGTATCAGTTAAGGCAACAGCAATTTCGTTTGAGTACGCATAAACCATACAGGTGTATTTACAGAGTACTCTGTATAATAACTAAGACCTGTGTTTATAATAGCGCAATTTCAGATCAGTAGAACACATTGAGTAATACTAAACGAACTATCGCCGTTCGCTGACATTATAGTTGAACCATAAGTTGCCCGAGCAGTGTTCGATAGCTACAATGCTGAGCCATTCAACGCTATTACACCAACCTAAACAGGCCGAAAAATCTATAGACTTATATATAAATTTATAAAATAAGCAGAATATATATTATCTTTCGAGGAAACAACTAAGAAATGTACCCACTTACTGAGTGTAGCATACCATAGTGTATATTTCTATCACAGATGCCAATGCTGATCTGACTAATCAGATCAGCACTCTTATCCACTGATTTCGTAGGAATTGAACTTCTGCCATGAGAAATAACCATTGCGATCATATTCGTACATCAACCTTTGGCAACAAGGCATACGATAATATTGTTCCATTATAGACGTACACGTATTATGTTATTATGAGATAAAAATCTATTATTATTATGTGTTTTTGTGCTTTATTTGTTTGATGCTACCCATATGCGCCGGACACTGCCTGCGCAATACTACTATTACTTTTTCCCAAACTAACTTAAATTTAAGTTCGAGCCTGCTTGTTTTTTTTTCGTTGCCATTGTCCGATTACCCTGTATCAATTACTCCACTGCACGATTCTAGCCATCAGTTAGCCTGCGGCAACTGTTTACAACTGCTTGATCTGCTTCAATTTTTTCATTCTATTTAGAGTACTCTGTAAGACTGCTTCAGATACTCTAATAATTTCCTATAGAATTAAATGTCTTTATCTTTTTTGTTTTTGGATCACTATCTATCTTTTAATGATTCAAATTTTCTTACAATTCAGGCGGTGGGCGGCGCTAGCAACGCCATGTTGTTTATTTGTAGATGGCGCCACCATCCTCACGAACCACTACCGAGCAGAGTGGCACAGCTTCGATTGTTGAAGACACAGCCACTGCAGCAGCAGCAGCAGCACCAGAGGCAGCGCCCGAGAGAAGAACGAGCAGTAGGGGCAGCAGCAGCAGTATTCGCCGGCGGCCCGACGATGCTGTCGGTAATGCTGCTGGTCCTAATCGTCACTACCAGTAGATTATGTTGTGGGGGTGTTTGGTTTTGAATGTCTGATTCTGTTTCACGGTGTAGATGTGTGCGGCGGATCTGTGCAAAGAGCTTATGTGGAAAGGAGGCCGAAGATGTCTAACGAAATGATGTACATTAATGAATGATGGCCCTTTACAGTACTGTATGAATGTCTGCCACTTGTGAGAATCTCGAGCAAGAGAACAACACAAAACGGTGAGAGGCTTCGACGCCGCCATTCAGTGGGGTCCGATCAGAAGTGTTCTTCTAACGGTCGAATAAAAAATGAACCCCCCAACGCAGTTCATCTCTATGTAGTTGATTCGTTAGAGATATTAAGCGAGCAATTAACACGGCTGCTTTATTCTGTTTAGTTTTAAATTGGTGTACTTATTCTTAAGTTCAGCTTAACTGCTCCAAGAAGTTACACTGGAGATTTAGATACTTCGTTCACTTGTGTAACTTAAGAAGCCCCGAAATTTGCCTATTCGGGACAGCCCAAACCCGTTGGCAACAAATGTTAGAATTATTCTTTCCGAGTATTTGCGTCAGTTTTTTTATTTTTTGACCTAAGAACCAGAAGTGCAGTTAGAGCTGGCCTAAATCACCGAATTGTTGTTGCTGAATAGAATTTTTGTTGTTCCATAGTAAAAAGTAATGTGTACGGACACTAGATTTACCGTCCCTCTAGTAGTAGACTAGAAGCGAAAAGCTTTATTTGGTTAACTGTGACACGAGAGTTGTGTTCAGATACAATGATAACTATGAACAGTCTTCAGTGACGGTTTAATTTATGGTGATTCAATGAAAAGTGGACCATTGTTTGCGCTGCATCAAGGATCGTTGATCGATGGTGATTTACTAAGAGCGACTTTTGTGAGGAATGGAGAATTGACCTCTCCTAGTGGTAACCGACAACAATTCTAGTAATAAAGATTTTATTTTTATAGTTACTAGCTGTTATTCATTCGCGGACGCCAGGGCACGCGCTGTTCCGCTTCGAATTCTGACAGAATTGTCGAAGTGCTTTTTTCCTGTCTCCCATTATGTTCGGCTGTCGCAGTCACTTGACTAAGTGACTGGAACACACCAGTGCATATTTAGGTTTTTATTGAGAAAACTAAACCGAAAAATAAATAGGGGAAGGCTATATGTGCACAAATCGTATCAGTGCCTTTATACCAACAACAATAGTAGAGCAGAGCGGGTACGCCCAAAAATTGTTCGATGCTGTGAAAAAGCACGTGCACGCCTGCTTCGAGCGTGCGCGTCCGTGTGTCATATGAATTGTTGAGCAATAGCGATAATTATACCACTGAACTCTTGCTAACTACTGTTGAACCACCTCTACAATTCTATAATCTTTTCGAAATGCAGAGTTTTATCATTTCAGCCAATACACTTTCCTTTGTTTCATACGTAACTAAAGACTAATAGTTACATGAAGTAAAGATTTTTAAAAAGTTACGCACGAAAGACGCGTGAAATAACTACTAATACGATCTATCCCGTTCGTCGTCCTAGTGTCTAGTTTGCAGCTGAGAGGTTAATGAACTGTTGGTGGCAAAGGTTGTAGCTCGTCTTGCCATTGGCATCTATAAGTGGTTACAGTTCAGCTTGTCTTCCCTCCTCCTCCTCCTCCTCAGCTCTCGCTATACGACTCGTGTGTTTATATGTGTCTATCAGGGGCAACCCCAAAAACAGTCCTGTATAACTCCAGCAGCTGTAGCCATGGCTCAGACAACAGTCGAAACGACACTCGAAGCAGGAGTTACGCCTGGCACGAAACAGAACGATCAGTCGAAGCCTCCGCAGTTATGAAAAACTCCTAGAATTTTTAGAAATAACGCTAGTGACAGTCATCAATTAGGCCAGAAGACTTCACTGGTTTCAAAATAGAATAGGCTGATACAGGAACGGATATTCAACTTACTAAGTACATCCGAAAAAGTCAGTGAGATTATTCAGATCTGTATAAATATACGAACAAGAAACAGAAACGCTCAAGTTGAAATGTGATGACGGCTATGTGTGGCACTTTGAGGTGTAAGCTCTGACATTCAAAAAACTTTGTGTATTCAAAGAAAAACTGGATAATGTTATTTCAAGGTGCAAGTCGTGTGGTTTACACAGTTGGTGCTTCGTGTCGTGGTAACGGATAAAATTGTATTAGATATTACATTTTATCTTGACATACGAAAGCCAGTGGTAGGGAAAATGCAAGCACCTTATACTTACATTTTTTTAAACGTAAGATAACCCCTTAAAAATAACTGACATGTGTTTCAGAAGTTGGTAAATCGGTGGCGTGTATTGAAGCTGTAAGATATGCCAAGTTCTTTTTTTTCACACAAAGAGAGTATGTTCTATCTTGTATAAATCATATTCGTTTCGTTCGATTTAGAAGCGGTCGCTCACGATGACGTTTGCGTTCTGAAAACAACGAAAAGCACATAGCCAGTTAATCCCTAAAAGCTTTCGTCAGGTAATAAATTAATGACCAAACTTCGCGTTCGACCCTGTTGACGTTCGAGTTGGTTTTCCACCGAATTCAGAAGGTTTTCAGGTTGAAAATGGCTTGTTTTTTTTTAATACAGAATTAGATCATGTTCTATCTAAATAGAAGAGGGAACAATGAAAAAAAAATACTGTTATACGTGCGTTCTCAGACTAGCTTTCTTCTGTTAGTAACGACTTTAAATGTTTGTATCTGAAGATTCAACACGGTGAGAAACAACACTATCGTGTTGTGTACATGTTTCTATCGTAATAAGGTAATTTGTAATCGTGTTGAGAAACCTAACTGTATTATTTCGCGTTGTTTGTTTTTATTGCAGAAACATTAAATTGGGTCGGAGAAATACGAGAATAGAGCCAGTTGCTGAGAATGCATTTATTAATATCCGAATCTTTATTTTCATTGCACTGAGTCGAAGAAGACAATGTTCAGAAAATCAAATTTATTCGCCTTGCGTAATGAATTTAGTGTTTTCATTAAAATGTTAGATTATCATCAGAAGATATTTTTTCTGCTAATTTAAAAGTTAAACACCGTTATCCGTATGTATGCTATGTGACCTGTATGCCACGGGCTGAACCTAATCGTTTTATGCTAATGCTCAGAAGTGGATTTATTTTTTTAGCAAAGTAAAAACAAGTTCTCCAGACATGAATGTATAATGTTAGGAGTACAGTTGCTAGAAACAATGTACAAAATTCAACAAGTATATTTGTTGAATGCTTCATTTAATGGAAAAATCTTACTAAAATCGTTGAAGTATCAGATTTTTTTCGTTCTGTCTGAATATGAGTATAGACTGTCGATTTCAACTGGAATAATTGAAGAACCTTTGACATTTGCTTCAGATTTAATGAATATCTCGAGGTGTAATACGTGATACAACTTTTTCAGTCTGCAGTAGAGTTTAGAATTAGATCCTAGTTGTCGCAAAGGGTACGCGGACCTGCAGAAGGATCACTACTGACTTAAAATCTATTCGCCTACATGAGCGAATGGTATTTATATAATGTCTATGTCGGGTCAAACACGTGTCTGGCACTAGGTTATGTATTATTGACTAAGGATCGCGATCTCAGTCATAGTTAGGCGCGCCAGTGGTCGGTTTAACAGTTTCCATTTGTGCTATCGAGAACAAGACATTACAAGAATCATATGGGATAACTTAAATCAAAGAAAAAAAAAAACAACAGTAATTTGTGGAAATTAATGTGAGTTGTGAAGTGGTGTGAATATTGTGATTTTGAATGAAAAGTTCAGTGCGGGTTCACTTGCATCTATCATTTGTTTCAGTACGTACACTAATATAATACGTAGTTCCTATTGCTGAGATGCAGTGGTCACATGAAAGAGATCAAATAATATTTGACAAAGGTAGGATGAACTGAAAGAAACTTTACTATATTAATATGAAAGATAATGATGTGGCTAAGTCCTGCTGAGTTTTTCATATCATCAATGTAACAAACCTCAGTACTTTTCAAGGAATGCCATCCTACCTGAATGCCTGCGCTTTTCACACGGAGTTAACGTGTATTCACCAAAAAGCGCTAACGACGTAAGCTGTCGTATTTGAAGACATTCGTCTTTTTTGTTAAGCAACTCGTAAACATTTCATTGCAGCGGAATTCGTTCCGTGAATAATCTTTAACGAACACTAACATTTGGCCCTCAGTAAAAATTATCGTTTCTAAAGATGGATTCCTCAATTAGACCGAAGTGGAGTTCGCTTTATACCGTTTTGAATCGAAGATCGTACATTCAGTAAGAACTAAATTTTTGCTTCATCGGTAGGTTAAAAGGGTCTTACAAAGTTGAGCATCGTTAATGATTGTTATTAATTATTAAGTTGATAGCTATATACTAAATTTTAAGTGCAGCATTTTACGTTGTGATTTCATTGCAGAAGGTTGCTCTTTTTTTTATCGAAGAACATCTGTTCAAGTGTAAGTTTTTCCCGTGGATATAAAGTTATTAGTAATGACCATAGGTTAAAGTTCTATTTGATTTTATTATGGTACATCGGAATCTAACTCAAAATGCTTGTTTTTCAACTATTTCAGATGGGGGACGATGACAAACGACCACGAAGAGTCCGCGCACAACCAAGTTGGGTGAGTTCTATTTATAGTTGTTTTCTTCTTCCTCTGACTCTTGTTACCGTATTCGCATTCGCAGACTTTACTCCTCATCAGTAGGTGTATTGTCATAGACCAGAATAAGCAAGAAATAATTACAAGGAGATTAAAAGTCAGGTTTAAATCTGTTGCTTTCTGTTAGACTATTTGAAATCGTCGAAATTGGCTCGAAATTGACCGAAGTGAACTAAGTGGTCCGCTAATACTGTTCTAGCTGAACAAACTTAACAGCGGGTCAGTCAGGCATATTGGTAACATCCGTGAGCACATCCGGCAACAGCAGTGTGACAGAGCTGCGCTATCGAAAAATAAAGAAAACTATTCCCTCTGGTCAGAAAAATTTATGAAAGTATAGTATTGTAGTTTTATACCTATATGTGACCAGAAGTTTAGATAAGCGGGAGACATCATTTAAATATAGGCCCTATACAAACTGAACGATATTCGACGATAATTGCAATATTTTTACAAACTACTTGATCTTTTACGCAATATTAGCGCAATCGGCACTCGATTACTCGCTCCTCTCAAACATCACGTGTTTTTTAGGAGCATTTTGATGATGTTAGTCTGTGGCTTATTGGTGTTTAAGACGGTATATATTATTTGAAGAAGACGTGAATGAGATCCAACGTATGCCTGGGTTACGCCTAAGAAATTGCACTTGAAAGGCTCTGCATTGGTCACAGTAAGATGTTTAATGCGTGTGGGGTTGAAAACGAACTAATCTGTACTATTCATCCTCTAACGTTGTCATTCCAATATATTAATGCGTTCATAGGTATTGGCGAACGGTCACGTATTGTCAGAGAGTGCTGCCCTAAAACGGGCATTGAAAGCCTCTCTTCTTGACTCACAGAAGGTAAAGAGCGGTGCGGATCGGAGACGCATCTCTGAACGCCGAAAAGCTGAAAATGCTACTCAACGCGAGGACGACATTACTAAGCCGACGGACACTCCGCGAAGCGCTGCCAGTTCAGCTGACTTATCCACTGCCAATGATATTAACCATAGGAAGGATGTGTCCGCTTCGAGGCGAGACCGATTATCTGCTGTTCACGAAGCCAAAGACAGTAAAGACAATGATAACATTAAGACAAAAACAACTTTGCCGAGAAAGGTGACGCTCACGGACGAGCATGTCGAACTGCGGATTGATCCAGGCGGTGGATGTCGAAGTACAAACTCTAAAAGACCTGCTGCAGGTACCGTTTCTGATGAGTGCGAAACCGCGAGTAGACGAGATAAGCGTATGAAGTTTCGCCGAGACTTCCTTGAGGACACCATGCGCGAAACGACTCGAAGTCCTCGGAAAAAGTATTGCGCACAAAGGAAATTTGCTCAGAATTGTAACGGTGGCGGTTATTCTTCTTCACCGATGTCCACCCCAGTAAAAGCCTTCCTCTCACCAGGACCTTCGCATCCACCCCCGCCACCTCCGCCTCCCCTGATCCTGCCTGCGGCTGCCACACAGGCCACGTCCCCTTTAAAGCCAACTTGTAAGACGGAGGATTTTCTTACATTTCTCTGTCTGCGTGGCACGTCCCTTTGTCCTGAGGATCTCAAGTTTTTAGAGCATCCCAGCAGTTTTGAAGCGTCACGTGGAAACGATGACAAACTAATGACAATGTTAGGCAAAACTAAACGTAATCTGCAGGGCAAATTGGCCGAACTGGAGGAGTCCCGCTCCAGACGTACGCGAGATTCAACCGATAGCTTGGACTCGCAGAAACCACGCAAGGACCTCGTTGCAAAAGTGGCTAAGCTGATTGCTGCCAAATACAAAAAAAGCTTGAATGGTGCTGTTGGGCCCCGACGCTTGTCGACCAGACAGTCAAGCAGTGATAGCAGAAGTTCGGTGACATCTACACCGTCACGTGCTGAACGGTTGAAAATTCGTCAACGAAAAGTGGCTCTACTTGAGAAAGAAAATAAAAGGCGAACCAATAGATTAGTGAAACCCGAAATTACAGGCGATAGCATTCCCGAAAATGGTGACCAAGTTCAAGAACAGCCTCTCAATGAGGTCCGAAATGCACCACAGACAACAGGAACAGTTGCGCAGAGGCGTTCGGCGCTTATTCGATCTCAGAGCAGGAGAACACAGCAACATTCACGTCGGGGTAACCTCATCGCACGGAGCCTTGTCAAAAGGGCGAAAACTGGGAAAGCGGTTTCAGGATCAGGAGTTGGTATGACACGAGATAATAGTAGAGAAGAGGGTCGGAGAGCGACGCGGAGTCTCGGGCCTATTGCTGAGGTTGCACTCCCCATATGGCCTCAGTATAAGCTCAAGCAGTACGAACTGTCGCTCTCAAAGAAAGGCAAGAAAACAATAGGACCTTCAGTTGCTGCACAACCGACACCAACTCAACCAATCAAGATGGCAAAGCGAATAGACAAACGTCGTTCCGAAAGACTTACAAACGACGGAATCGCCATTGCCTCACCTAGAAAGACGATGCGACATCGGAGAGCTCCTATGGAGGAGCCTAAAACCATTTCTGAAGCCATAACCAGTATCGATGTTAATGGTACATATTTTTTTTTTGCATACCCGTAGCCATATATAGATTTCTTACACGGTTGCCTCTAAATTTACGTGTAGACGATCAACCGCTACAGTTCTTTAGTCTGGTTTACAGCCGATATCGATGCCTGTAAATACCTTTTTATTTTAATATAATAATAAATAATTGATTTTTCGCAGTTTGCAAAGTGGCGCTATGTAAGGTTCCTTTGATTTTTAAAAGGCTTTTTACTTTTTACTAACAAGATACATTTTCTGCATAATTCTTTAGACCGAATAGACAACCTGGTACCGATCAGCTCAGATTTAATCAACACTTCCACGGATGAGACAACGTTGGCAATTAATGGCCTGATTTCTTCAAAGTTCGAGGGCGATTTTGGCGTATTATCGACACGGGACATTTTAAATACTTCAACCTCTACGAATCATGAAACACCCGTTAAGGCGTCTCTTAATTTTATGAGTGACTGTGGAAGCCCGTGTGGGAGCGTCATTTCTCGGGCCAGTGACACAAGTTTCAGAAAGGTAAGATAAAAACCGATATAAACAGGATCGATTAGTATATCTACAACACTGGCGGTATTTGTCTGATAATTTGTCACTGTATAGAAACATATTTTGGATGTTTGGTAATATTAACCCAGCTAAAAACATTACAATGTAGCACGAAGTATCGAGTAAACGCTATTGTTTTTTGCCTAGCAATCTACCCCCACCGAGCCTACGCCTGTGTGCAAAGCGAGCAAGGGTCGAAAGACCCAGGCAATTCGGTGGTCTTCTTTAAGTGAGCCTTCACCATCCACATCTAACACGCCCTCCGCCTCTACTGGAGGGCCTGTTGGTAAGTGTGAAGTGGGTCCTACACTTGTGTTCGAGCCAACGGTTGAGGAGTTCCAAGATCCACTGAAATACATCAGAGAAACGATTGCACAAATCGATGTTACTACGCACTCTATGTTTAAGATTGTCACACCACTCAAGAACAGCACTGAAACAGTTGGTGCAAAGGAAGCAAAAATTCCTGCACGCCTATCAGAATGCCGCGTATCTTCAGAGATGCGTTTTTTAGCGTACAACCAATTTCTACATAAAATGTGGAGACGGTGGGGTCCATCAACGTTGCAGTATGCTTGTTTACGGAAAGCGCTCAAGATTTCTGAAGGAAGGGATAACGGTAAGTTTATTTTGATTGTTCGTAATGACTTTTATTGCTTAAATCAATGATACAACGACGACGTGTTTTTTTTTTCAATATTTAGACTCTTGTATCAACGTCACAGTCTATTTCGAAAACGATCTCTTCAATGAGCTGCAACTATTACTTGAGTGCAGTGATATCATAAAAGCATGCTTATCAAAAAAAACTTTTCAAAAACACTTGAGATAACATAAAGATGACAATGTCTGTAATTAGGCTCAGAAGAAGCAACTGAGGACAAAATTTTGTATAAGAGCGGGAATCCATTAATCGGCGGTGTCGAAATTGACGTTGGCCACCTCTACGAGACTGTACAAAACTTTGGAGGCATTCAAGCTGTTATGGAGAAAAAAAAATGGGTCCGCGTCGCCGATGCAATGAGAATACCTCGCATGGCACACGACCGAGTTGCCAGACTTGACGATGCCTATATGCGCTATTGTCTTCCGCTTGAGGTTATGAGCGATTTGGAAAAGGAAGACGTTCTTAATAAGGTAAACGTTTTTATGTAAACACAATAACCACATTCGTCATGTATTTGATAGTTTTTAGCAAATACACAATGCTTGCAACCTTGCTATCGCTTTATTAAGTCTTGAAAAAAACCAGCCCACAAATACCTTTAATACGCGTGGTACGCTGTCAAAAATCCTATTAAAATACTGCTGCATAAAAAAGATCATTTTTGTCTTTGTTTACTTCTTATTGAAAAAGAGCGAAGACGGAGTTGTTTCTTGGTGTACTTCCTAAGCGAGAAGTGAGTTTCCAATGTAGGTTTACATTGTTTGCGTTCATTTTTCGTGATTCGGTAGGTTAAGGAGGAGAGGGAACGTCGTCGTGCGCAAGATTTTTGGGACGAAAATGAGACCCGTGAATGTGTCTGGCCCGGCAGAAATATGACGTTAGCCGTCTTCGAGAGGATCGCACGTAACACACATACAATGTGGTATCCTCGATCTGGTTCTGGCATATGCGGGGGTCTAGGTGGCGCTAGTGCAGACATTGGCGCCGCCCCAGAGGACGTTGAGCACGACTTCTGGGCTATTGTCGAGTCACGAAAGCGGCATATTGTTGTTAATTGCGGCAACATTGACACGCTGGCTTACGGCTGTGGATTTCCGCCTCCTCTAACTGGTTTTATAGATAAGGTCTCAGAACAGGCCGGGCGAGGGAAGAAAGCGTCGTCGACAGCGCCAGCTGCTGAAAAATCTAACAATGGTGGAGATGGTCGGGCTGTACCATGGAATACAAAGCTATTGGCTCGCCACTCTGAGAATGTTCTACGATGGCTTGGTGGCGTGTCGGGCGTTACCATACCAACACTGCATGTCAGCATGCTTTTCACCGCACTGCCGTGGTATAGAGATCCTCACAATGTTAACTGGTTGGATTATCTGCACAGCGGAGCACCGAAGATTTGGTACTCTGTACCATCGAGCCAGGCCGATCGATTTCATCGAGTGGTGTCTCGTCTTGCTCCGCATGTACATCAAAGCGATGTTGGAATACCGTCAGACGCATGCTTGATACCTCCACGAATGTTGCTAGATCGAGGAGTGCCACTGCAGAAGACCGAGCAAAAACCCGGTGAAATGGTGGTTATCCTTCAGGGGTGCTACAGCTCGAACGTTTCATGTGGATTCAGCCTTTCCGAAAGCGTTTATTTCACCTGGGACGACTGGATAAAACAAAGCTGGAAGAGGTTTGTTTTTTAACCTCTTCACTAAATTTAGATATTACGCCTGCTTAGCTACAGGTTGTATGTAAATACAAATGCAAAAAGCGGATTTCATCTTTTGAAAATTTGGTATACCACACTTATTTTGTATGAAGCATTTCCAGTAATCAGTAGAGCTAATCATGAACCTTTCTGCCCTACCTTCGTAAACTTACAGATCTACAAACCTCTTCATTTAACTGCATAGATTTAAAATCCGTCCATTGCGTGGTTCTTATGTAAATATCTAAGTCACAATAGTTAATGATTAACGGTAACTAATTTGTCTGGTTTTTATCTGTAGGTTCCAGACATTACGCGAGAACAGTGAACCCCCGACATTTTGTCTGGAACAGTTAATAGTAAACATGGCCATGGAGGGAGCCGGCGCTGGATCAGGCAGTGGAGGTTCTGGCCGTGAAAATTCGCTTAGCGAAGAGGTGTTATCGGACGTGTGGACCGTTCTTAGCCGCATGGTGGAAGAGTTGTCAACAAGCTGGAATGTCCTCGAGGAAGCTGGGGTAGTTAACGAACGAAGAGAGCAGAGTGCGTTCCCAGTTGAATGCGCAGACTGTCGAATGTTGTGCGGATTGGCAGCGGTAGGTTTTATAATTACTAGTAATAACACAGTTTTAAACAAATTTTTAGTTATTAGCAATTTTGCAGCCCTCACCGACTTATAAATGCTCTGCAAAATTAAAGTTGGGAACAATTGATGAAGCCTGCGACAAGTCGTTTTCATTCTAATGCTTTGTCTTTTTATTAAAAAACCGAATGAAAGCTGAAAAACAACGAAACTGTCGTATTATGAGTGAGGATTGCTAAAAAAAAATTAGGATATTAAAAATACTGGGCAGTTCACTATTTAAGTGTAAATCTATTTTTCCTTCAACGGTTTAGGCTGTATGTCAGAAATCTCTTGGAGAAGAAGTGGTGTGCCTTGTCGATGCCCAAGTACGACTCGATGCTCCGCTTAGTCCACCAGCCACCCCCTCCACAGGTGCGACTACTGGTAAACCAGTCAAAAGCACCAGAGCTCAACAATCGCAAACAGGAATTATCCGTACACCTGCTCAAAATGGATTACAGCAGCAACGACAACCTTCGACGAAATTCAAAATTGTGTTCTGCTATTCAATGGTAAACTTATACTCGTGAACCATAGAAACGACCGGGTACGCTGAAAGCCAATCGCATTTGTCTTTATAGGCGAACGTAAGTAAACTCATTGCAAAATACCACCAACCCGTATCATTAGCTTTGTTTGTTCTTTGGTTGTCAATTACAGGAAGAGTTGAAGTCGCTATCTGCAAAGCTCCAGCAGAAGATCAAATAAGGTGAAAAACAACTCGGGATAGACTTACAGCCTCCTTATGAAGATGCCTGCCTTATAAAAATGCTCATCGCTTTTCCACACCGGTGTCTGCCATTGTATATATACATTTCGGCGATAGGCATACTACGCAATTGCAAACTTTGTGTGGGCCTTTATACGTATAGACGAATGCATCGCGCGCGACACTGTGCGGTTGTTTTTTGAAAAAGACATTGCAATCACTTCGCCAGTTTTTCGGGAGTGATCAATAACTGCCGCCACGAAGCCCTCTATCCAAGGGCATCAACATGCGAGTACGAATGCTATTGCATACGACTCGATGTTTACGACTACGGCATACTGCCATTTTTTTTCTAATACCACATTACTGTGCAGCGATTATCTAAATGTGATCGTTCTGTAAAATAACAAACTATACATTCAGCATTGATTTTTCCTGCTGTAGTGCATCATAGTATTTACACTAATGTAATGAGCATCCCGTTATCTTGAAGTGCTTTCAAAATTTGTTTCATTTTTTTGCCGCTTGTAATTATTGGCTTCTATCATTAGTAGAAATTTAGGCTCAAGGGGTGATAACTCGTAATTGCGAGAAAGATCATAAATACGCATGTCGTACGGAAAACCAAGATAATATAGCATGTATATATAAAATGTGTGTCGGTTTTATTCGTAGCGTAGTGAAACACCGTTAAATTTTCGCTACCTCAAAGTCGATGATAAGTATTGATATGTGAATACGCTTGGTTTTTTACGTGTAGATGAAGCGAAAAATAGCGGAAAATGATTCCACATTAGCGAACAGAAAGCTTCGGACAGACTCCGGATTTATTGAATCAGACAGAGTTTTGCATGTTGTAGATTGTATTGTATTGTACATCCGTATGCAGAGAGTCCACTGGAGTGAGAGACTGTACTTGCAGTTAGCCTTGTTTTGTATAAAAAAAAACTTTTTGTCTTGTTTTGTTGATTGTGTAAAGCTGTGCTATACGCACAGTGAATAATGTACATAGATGTATCGAAAGAGGGATATTCTTGCAGTATTTGTAACAATTTACAATAAATATTATAATAATGATAATGATAATGGTAATTATCCCATGAACAACTGGTATCATACATTAACTTAACTCAAAGTTGTCCTACCGGATTTTCCAACAATTTTTTCCTGGAATCAACGCTGTTGAATAACTTCGCAAATATTAATATATCAAATTTATAATTCTCAGTTAATAAATCATTAGAAAATCACTAGTCGGGCCGCTTATAATGCCATATAGCGGATAATAATGCATAATATCGGACATGCCTGAGTGCACTTCCTATCCTATTTTTGACTAAAAATGAAAACAATAGTCGGTTTACTACTGTGAGGTAAAACAGGGTTTTGAGGTTTAGGCATGCATGGTTAAAGGCAAATAACATACAACGGTACAGATAATTCCACACGCCAGGACCACTATGTTGAAATCTTGGAACACTCAATTTCCGGTCACCTAAACGCGTCAAGGCGTCAAGGGCCTGTCATTTTAACTGCCGAACAAGTTGGTCTAATAAAATAAATCAACTATTAAAGTGGCAATGTGAGAATATTGAACTTAACCCATCCTGCAAGCTGACAGAATTCTTAAGTGCAAATTGTTCGAACAGCGAATGACTCAAAATGCCTTCACTTAATTCAGTGTTAATTTCTATGTGCTTCCCTATGAAGTTTTTTAATACTAACTTAATTTTTAACGTGCGTTAATTAAACGATAAAAAAGCCAATGTGGCCAGACATGTACAACTGTAGCTTGTGAAATAGCATTTTGTTGGCAATGAATTCTCAATAACTATTGGTCGTAAAATTGCCATATCCTTTCATTTCTGTTTAACGAGTTTTGCCGCTTTTCGAGGCTTTTAAAAAATGTTTTGAATTTTATGTATAATAATGCCGATAAGAGTTGTTTTAGACAGCTGGTTCCCACCACAAAACGAAGCATGCAAACAAACAAAACGAATATCTACAGCATCGCTTGTGTTTTTGAGTTTAGTAGACAGACAAGTTATCACTGCACCGCGACGGTGCACTCTTACGCTTAATTGTCATTGAAAAGCATATTTCACGCACAACCACAGTTCAATTGCCTGCATAGTGGCACCAGTTTCAATATTTCGAGTCCATGTCAATGCTTCCATTCATAAAGCAAAACCTAGAACTCCTATGTTTATTCGCTTGTGTCGAATTAGCTGACAGCATATCATTGGCGTGAAATAAACAAGATGATGTGTGAATGACACAATTGTAGGAGTCGTGAGTAACGAGAGTAGCAGAGCTCGAACGTATGGTTTAGTGTCAAACGAACTAAAACCTAAGGTGAATGTGTAGCGCAGAGATGCCGGGCAATGGAACTCGTAATCAGGATGTTGAGGGACCACCAACAGACACAATTTTAATAAAAGTACCGGCACACGATGGTGTACTAACACCATTGCTCAATAGGTACAACTTGAAATCGGATACGTTGTTCTGGCTGTATACGCCGCCGGTATTGATTTTTTCACCGGAGCATATTCTCGCTATAACCGGAGGCGACACATCATGTGTGGCGTTGTACGAAAGCAGTATAATGAGGTGGTGCACTTGCGCACAGTACCTTATAAACGACTTTCATTTTGTACTTGGTATGGAGTATCACAAATTCTGGTCGACGGTCCTGTTCGACGATAATTTCAGTATAGCACTTGAGAGCGTTCTACGACAATCTCCCAGGTGGTTTGATGCTAATTATCTCGTTACGCCACTTATGCAGTCACTTCAAAACGAGCTGCATGAGGTCGTTATAAAAATCATCATGCGGATGTCAATATGGAGGGAGTCGAAGACGGAACACTTAACCCCAGCCACATTCGCCGATTATCTATATGACTCAGTGTACGACATTGCTCGTGTTGTCGATATTTGTGTCCTATATGGCTATACAGAAAAAAGTTCAGTTAACCCCCTTATTAAGAAGATGCTAACCAACGTATTCAAGAGGCAGCCTAAGCTGACACTTGAAGTCGATATTTTCGTTGGTGCCATGCAAAAAATCTTGTCAGATTTGCGAGGCATATGTGAAAATGAGGATCCCGATGTTTCGCGTGGTGAACTATTGCTGCATATGGGGGGAACCTCGCTAAATTCAACACCTTTTGAATTTTTGGACGACAAGGAGATTTTCGATATGTGTCAGCGTACGCTGGAACCATCTGCAACTGTTTTACATTTCATGAGACATACGCCTGATGAAATCCTTGATTCTTTGGAGGACGTGGTGATTGCAATTCCTCAGTTCTTTGATGTGGTATATACGTCGATTGATAGAGAATTAGAGCGGCGAAAAGGAACATTGCCTACTGGCCTAGCCGATCAAGCCATGGAAATGTTCCGCGCAGGACAATCTTGCGCACTTGACGTGTTCCGGCATTTCGTTAAAGTCAAATGTATTGATCCTACTGCGACAAATAGCCTACCAAATACAGAAGCAGCCCTCAAAGCAGTGGAAAAATATTACACTTTATTAATGCAAGCCGTGGAGCAGGCTAGTTTTATTATTTCCTATAACTCGATGTATCCTTTGCAAGAAGACATCGATACATTTCGAAAGAGTTCGTTAACGGCAGGCTTAGTGGATGAATCCCAGTTTAAATATTTGCTCAATGCTCTCCATATGGCTGTAACAGAAATAGGGCTAGAGCAGGACGTTTTTGGTGAAAGTGTGATGCTGGAGGGAGCGGTTGGTGGAAGCATGATGTCTGAAGTTAAAAAAATTCTAGCTGTCATACCTGATCTGCGGCATGAGTTTGTCGAAAAGTGCCTTGAGTTCTATGATTGGAATGTTAATGAGGTAATTAGTGCTTTGATCGACAACAACGTTCATCCAGAGCTCGAAAAGTATCGTCATGCACCCGCTAAATCCGTCGAGGAATCGCCTAAAGCCGAGGATGGAGCAGAGGTACACATTGGCAAAAAAAATCAATTAGCTTGCCTCTTTACAGAGGACTTTTTAGCGAAACGTAATGTCCAGAACATAATAATGCAATACAGTGATGTGGACGTTGAAGTCAACACGAAAATGTACGATGACGAATATGATGATACATACGACTCAGTCGATGTCGGAATCCCTGAGAAAGACTTTAGAGAAAGTGATCGACCCTTTGAAGTGCCTCGTATTTTGCGGAAGGGCGACGAGCGCAGAAAAGCCGAATGGGAAATTGGGAAAAACCAAGAAGAGAACGACGATAGTGATGATAATGAGGATGACGATGCTACGAGGAAGCGTCAGATAGCATTCTGTGAAAATCCGGAAGACGTACGAGCTAGGCGGGAACAAAGATATCAGGCAAACCTTGCAAGAAGGGGTAAAGCGCCTCCACCGAAACGAGACGTTGTTGGAGTAGCTAAAGGCCAAGGCCAAAGCAGAGAAGTATTGCGAAACCGACAGCTTAAGGAAAAACATAAAGGAGGCAATCGTGCAGTGCAATCGGAGAGGAAGAGAAGAGAATTCTAAGTATTTAAATTTAACCGCTATCGCCCACCAAAGGTGTGCATTTGCTACGACACACAGCTGCGATACGTGATGTATTATGAGGAAACGGAAAACGCTTACTGGCAAAGCGACAAATACGCGAACGCGACAGATGAATACGACTGACGGAATGAGTGTTATTGATTGTAAATCACATTTATTTTTGAAGTAGAGCTTGCACGTTGAATCAATATAGTGATGTAAAAAAGCTTTAAGGAAACATTACTGTTCTCACTAAAAATTCCGTTTTTTTCTTGGAGTCAGTATATTTTAATAAAAAGGTAGCTTCGTTTACAATTGAAAGGTTTTATAATAGAATTGATTATAAAACTGTAGGAACCCCAAGAGCAGCTATCATATGCTAAAAAGTCTAATAAATAAACATACAGTAAGCAGATAACCACTAGAAATAATGATATCAATTACAGGATATTCATGTTTCATAATTTTGTATCGCTTCATAGAGGCCACTAGGTTCACAAATGGGTTTTCGTTCATACAGATACGAACTACAAAATATACTGAACTTCATTGAAACATGCTTTGGCAACTATGGCATCTGAAAAAGTACGTACTGCCGCACATTTTCAGGGAGATTTGTATACTAGTAGAACGCTTTTCTTTCATAAATAGTGAAATGGCATCTATAATTATTTTTAATGATTCAATAAAAGTTTACTCTATTTTTTTCTAGTTGATTCTGCTTGTTTACGCGCCTTAATTGAAGAGTTGATTATTAATAATAACCAGTAATAACAAGAAAAATATAACTAGCTAAACAACGCATACAGGTAAATGCTCTGCTGTTTTTCCGTCGCAAATTTGAAACGAAACTCATCAAGAGCACTAATAACTCCCATGCATTGGTGCGTATCATAAAGCTATTCATAGAAATAGTATGTATGTGTTCACGCTATTTCTGTATACTACTATCTGTCATGGTTAAGTTCGGACACCATTCCGTCTATCATATTGCTATCGTATGCTATCACATGGACGTGGAATGCTTCATCAAAATGCCCCAGGCATCGTAAGTGTATCAGATATATTATGATTTTATTGTAATATTTCCAAATTACAGACCCTTCTACCGTTGCGTCTGAAGGAAAACTCAGCAGTAATCAGTATGGAATATTTTACATAAAGAAGAACTCCTAATAAATCTCACTTTTTTTTCCTTACTTTATTATTGCACAAATTGAAGCGTGGTTAGCATATTCTATGATTATATGCAATAAAGTGTGTCCGATGTATTATTGTATACTGCTAAGAAATAATTGCACAATATTTATAATAGACACTGAGATATCCGAGAAGCAACTGAGCATAGTAAGAAACAACTGTACAGCGAAAGTATGATTAGTTGACAGTTTCAGATAGCGCACAGGTCCTATTCAAACACTGCACAGTGACTTTCAGGATCCTCTTCAGTGACCTTCTAGTATATTCTGCAGTCACTTCACAAACAGTATGGAAAACATTTTTGAAAAACCCATATACAAACGCGCCTGCAATGCATGAGTTCAGCAATGATGTGTCGTTAATAGATACTCGATGTCGTGCCGTCTGTTTGGAGCGGAAGCCTCAATCAATTGTTAGCACTTGCTATTGCATTTTATGTAGAACGCCAACTGTCTTCACTGTACGCTGCTTAGACCGCTGGGGGAACAAGGCGTTCCTCTAGTACGCACTCTCAGAAACCGCTAAAGTTGGGTCACAAGATCGCGTGATGACATAGCATATATTTACTTAATTTTTCCTACCAATTTGTGATTCACGGTTCATGTTGGTTGTTGTTCGGTGTTTGATGTTCATCGCATTGACTCAGAGGCAGCTTTGAGGGCCGCCAGGTCCGAGCATACATAACGTTATTTGAATTGGGTCCAAAGCGCCGCTTTGTCGAGTGCCATGATAACGAATGCGATACAACCACTCCCACGCATTCTCCGCTCTGTAACCCTATTAAAACGACAAATCACAGAAAAATTCAAAGGCAAAAGATACCCTATTCGACTTTCCTCTAATGCTAAATCCACGCTGTTTTACGTGAACTAATCAAATAAGTACTTCGATTTTTACGTCAATTACTGCCGTGAAGTATTGCTTTAGACAGCTAGCCTTCCAGCATAAAGTATTTTTACACCTGGTTTCAAACCGAGACCATCCGCTCTACAAAGTGTTAACACACATCTTCGCGGTGACGGAGTGCTTAATTAACTGATATATTTGTTATGTTAAAGCATTTCATATTACTGAATTTATATTACCATTTTTAAGCTAGCGGGATAGCAACACATTTTGGAATTCATTTCAGGATATCACACATAATAGCAGTCAAGATCAGGACCATTGAAACTTAAACATAGGCTCTGTGACCTGCACGGTTAGTGATTTACGTTTAGGGTAGCTATATCTTCGCTTTCAGCCCTAAAACATGTAAATTCTTTACGAAAATAACTTGGTTATCAAGTGCAAACAATCTAGTCTACTGGAGGTAATTAGAATGAGGTTCGTCGGCAATCGTTTTAGAAAATGACCTACCTATTCAGCAAATTTATTTCTGTAAATATTCTTACTTTCAGCGCAACGTAACCTTTTTATGCGTGTTTTTCCTTATTTAACTTATGTTAAAGCATCTACATTCTATTTAGTTATTTAGAAATAATAATAATTATTATTTGTATTATGCCCTATGATCGATATCATAGTCAATACTCATTCCAATTTCTTCTGCCGCACATTATTATATAAAGTACAACGAAGAGGGCAGGCGTAGTCCATTGGTAAATACGTTTAATAACTTGCACTTATTTTTTTATTGATTGAGGAAATCTTACATTTTTTGCTGTGTACAATGACTTTCTTTTGGGTCAAAGCCCTTTGCTGATGGGCACGACTTTCGCTGGGATTACGACCCGTGGTCAGAAGTTCCGTCAGGAATGAGATGTATCCGATCGCAAGTCGGAGAGTGTCCACCTGCGTTCAAATTTAAGCGCACTGAGAACCTATATTTTTAAATTTGTAAACTGGACGGCAAAAGTAACTCGGCCGTAGGGGGAAACTAAAATATATGTTATTGATTGGGGAAAAAGTAAAACTGAAAAGAAATAAAAGAGCAGAAGACACCTGAGTTATGGTAAAACCATAGGTTATTTGTCGTGATTATCATAGCATATTGTTGCAAAATTAGTTTGTTGGAAAAGAGTTCAGATAGATGTAGAAAGTAATGCCTAACAAAATTCACTATTAAATACTAATGACGTACTAGGTGCAGTAGGTACTGAACGTGGAAAAGGAATATTTCTCTTGTCATTCTTAAGACACATAGTCTGCACTAAGGCAAGCGCGACTTCACAATGCGAGCATCGTGATCAACGGGAGGTCAAATTAGGTGGCACAGAAGGCTTCGGATTCAATTCATTCATAAAATCGTTCACATTTATAAGGCGGAAAATTATATTCGAGGCATGCTAACCTTGGATAGCTTTTTTTCATAAGGTAACGTAGGTATATGTCCTCGGAGTCCTTCGAAGGCGTCGTTGATCGACTGCATCCGCCGGCGTTCGCGCATGTTTGCTGCTACCCGTTGGTGGGCCTGCAACATGCAAAAAAAAAACGTACGAAGATGGACGTCAGATAAACCTTAGTCCTTATGTCATCTGTTTAGATCTTCAGATCTCCTCAGTATCCACGAATTCTGAAATAACAATTCCTTATTGCACCGATGCACATTATGGCTTGCAAATATTACATGAGAGAGGTTTTAGAACCCATTACAAAAATGTTCGGCCGATGACTATCAGTAATGTATAAATTCGCGAAGGCGATTCCAGTTTTACGTTATCTAGGAATTATTGATTTCCTTGAATTTACATAAGAACGCTTCGCTTTATACTAAAAAACTTGAAAGAAGCTATCATGATCATTAACAGTGACTAATTTTTAGGTGTCATTATTTTTAATTTGATCCGTGAGAACAAAGACCGTATAAAAAACTGCAATTGTACATAATGGTAGTTGTACCAATATTCTTATAAATTATAGTATGACTTTGTTTAGCTAAGTAAATTTTTTGTTGTTGTAAAAATCAAAGCAACGTTTAGTGAGCTTTTAATAATCTTAACTGCAATTGTCTTTCATAAATAAAAAAAGAACTTAAACATGACATTATCGATATCAGGTGGGGTCGTGCAAAAGTAATCACCATTGTTACCGTATTGATATATGTACGTCAAAAGAAAGTTAAGTATTGTAAATAATTGGCTAAATAGTTTCTGATGAATTATTACATACCCAGATAGCCCTTAAATGTATACTGTTGCAGACCATATATATCCACATCATTCGCCATTTTATGGCGTGGAACTATCGTGCAAAAACGTGTAAGCTTTGCATAAGGATTTTTTATATTTATCAGTTATTTATGAACAACAAATTAGATTTTGCTAAAACACACCAGAGAGATTTTTATCAGATAGGTCACTTATACTTCGAGCCATTAAGGCCGATAAATATAGAAAATTCTTCTCACGAGGTTTACGCATCTTTGCAAATTAATTCCATACCATAAAATGGTGAGTGATGTGCATATATATGGTCTGCAACAGTATACATTTCAGGGGCCGTCTGGACATGTAATAATTCACCGGAAGCTATTTATCCAATTGTTTACAATATGCTCCTCCTAGCTGCCCACTTCAGCCGCCATGTTCAGTTGCCCTCATACACTCTCTTTCCTTTCCAGATTATTCGTGTTATAGATCCGCTTCGTAGCCACTTGTCTTCTACTACTATGCTCTGCCATTAAGCGTTAAACAAGCAAGCAGATTTGTGGATTTATCTGTCATGTTGTAGAGAAAGTACACATGTAGTACTTCGCTTTTGTGTGAGGCAGCGCCTATCCAGGTGGCGCCCGTTGATTGTTCATTGCCCCTAGGACACAATACCCTCATGTTGCATCCCTTCACGTTGCGGAATGCTAAGCGAGAAGCGGTTGGGCGAAGTTCCCTTTCTCGTTACGAAGTTGTAGAATACGAGGGCACGCCAAGAGGCAGGCGCGATTTCATGCAGAGCCAACTCCTAGGTACTTCCCCATCGGTTCTCCCAAACGATAATCCTGCCTGCCCTCCTCTCCATCTTGCTTCAAATTTCCTACACAGGTGCAGTGTACTCTGGGAGCCCCTGCACCTGGCCACCCACTACTTGCCACATCTGCGGGTTGTGCCAGCTACCTAGTATCTATACCATCATACAGCGGTCCATAGAATTCTACTTACCCTTAGCTCCACGACATTTGTTCGTCTACCGCGGCGAGCATGAACTGTCTGGGCTGTTTACTATGTCGTTGTCTCGATCGTCTAGGAAGCATAGCCTCATAGAGTATGGAATCACAAATTCCACCATAGGCTTAACTTTGCATGTTCTGTACTGGGCTTTCTACATTGCTGGCTGAATAACTGTTGTTGTGTCAGGTAGTTCTAGAGATCGGTGGCGGCAAGGGCTTGTGGCACGTTAGATCTCAAACTGAATCGAGTCATATTAAAGATAGTCAAGCTGCAGTTGTACAGAGGTCAAGATGGTATGAAAACGGTTTTTCTGTTCAGTCGCATTCTTCTATGGGCTTTTTATGGTTTCTGTTCTCACGAATATGCGACTGTATTTGTCACGTTACCTTGAAATGTGTTCGGTCCTTAAGCTGGAAACTTAACTGTGCCTGCACTTCTTTGTTTCGCAAACTGTCCTTCTTTTGGAATTTTATCAGGTGTTACGACAATCACTATTGTTGGCTACATACTATATGCAACAGATTGCAATAGATCAAATACTGTCATATGAATTTATAAATAAATACACGTCTACGTTTGCATAAGACAACCATTTATTTGCCTACGCAGACTAAATGGCTAGGAAGCCTTCGGTACCGCCGACAAATGACAAACCTGACCTAAGCGCTTCATTTGCTGGCAGTGATATGGTTGAAGTTGCGAAACAGGGGCTCGCGAACGGTTGGGTGATTGGAGTCGTTCTCGATTAAGCTAACGGCAAAGAGGCCAGAGCAATGGACAGAGGTCGTAGGGCAGGCGCATAGACATTTGCAAAGACTTGCTCGTTCGATTTCAATATGGGTGCGAGGGACACGTGGGCAAGCTCTAACGAGAAGCTTACGAACGCCTTGTCTCGAAGAAGGCCAAGGCAAGGCGTTAGTGCGATTATATGCCGGAAAGATCTGCGCTTGCTGGAGGAAGCATCCCGAGTGGTTTGTACTAACAGATTGAACCACTTTGACGCAACGTTTGACGCAATCACTACAAACCTCTGCGACTTCTAGCTCGTGGCGGCCCGGTGGACAAAGTAATTATGACCTACACTTCTGCAGGTAACCGAGGCCTTGGTACCTTTTTCAGTGTCCAAGGGCACAGAAAACTGTTCATCGTTTCCTTTTTTTTTCTGGACAGAGATGTTGGGAGTGAAGCATTTATGTACGTGCGCAACTGCGGAGTGTGCTAGCTTGCGAAGACAAGTCACGATACAGCTCTTTCTGTAGCGACAACAAAGGTGAGCATGGATTCGTTACACGAGACTGTCAAAACATCGGTTGGCGGTTAAGGCTTTTATAGAAGCTAGCAGCTGTTTATTGTTTACATTTTCGACTGTAGTGCTCAGTGGCTATTACCAGCCCCGCGTAGCATTAGCATGTACGCCGTGGGGCTGCACAATTTACAGCGGCCAAAAATATTCCGTCTTGCAACGTCTCTCGACTGGACATTTGTGCGCCGCTACAACGTTCCCCCTGGCACCTCCGCACTTCGATCCATTGTCGAAGTACGTCTCCTGCGGAAGCTTTTACACTTTGCTAAAGCTACGCTGCTAAAGCTTTAACGCCGTTACTGGTACTAACGACTCTCTTAAAGGCTTGCCTTGTGCGCCGATTCGACCGACGGCTTTCGTCGCCGGACAGATGGCCAGTTTCCAGATTTTGCGGTTATTCTTACAAGTCGGTAGAGCGCGCGTGTTTATGAAGGACTAGGCCAATGGTTGGGAACTGACGATGTATAGGCTAACGCTTCGAAACCCTAACTGCGTAGAAGTTAACGGCTTCGATAGAATAGCCGGTGCAGTAGTAAATACTTAATAAGCTTATCACGCCTTAGAACCTCTACGCTGTATCACAATCATCTTCGTGAGTATCACCATCAGCGGTTCCGCGGCCAGCCACAAAGAATTTTTCCGCGATTCTACCACTTCACTTACAGCTATGGGAACGTTATAGACTCGCCTATATCAGCTGCTGGCGAACATATATAACAGTAACAAGCTTTAATAAGGACTTTTCAGAGATAGCACAACTATTAGACATCTATGTATGCTAGGAAATTCAACACCGTAACAATTGTACCAATGTGCGATATGGCTATCAATGAAACCACTTACGATTTAGCTATAGCAGAAGTGGAAGAAAAAGCTAATTTGGATGCAGGTGCACCTGTATCCCACCAATCGGCTAAGAAGTGCACCCCAAACTGTGAATGGCTCTTGAAAATCTCAAAAGGGGGTACCCGACAGTGTCCCCGCAAGTGCTCCCGTCAATGGACAGAACATTAAAATAGGTCAATTTTGCATCGATTGATACCATCAGTGGCCTTTCTATAATGATTAACAAAATGTAATAGCATATTCGCGAAAATAATAATTGCTAGATAGAAGTAGTTTACAAAACATACCTTATTAATAAAGGACATGGCCAATTGAACATTTAGGATGTAAGAACAACTGATTAGTCAAAAACAGACCTTAAACCAAATTTTTTTTCGTTCGTCCCATTTACCGAAAGATACCCAGAAGATATAAGCTAGCTTGCATTGCACACAAAAAGCATTAACTCATTTTTTACTTAAAAATGATATTCGTAGTCCTAATTTTCTTTTAAATCTTTCTCTTTAAATTAAATAAAATTAAATGATAAGTTTGGTTATGAAGTCCTAAATACATTAGCAGTAAATAGGTGGCTCTTATCATATCGCTGGGAAAGATTAGTTATCAGCTTGTTTAGTTGAAGATAGTTGGCAAATAGACGTTGAAATAATGGCCATGCTGTGAGCACTGTGTGCCGCTCCTTTGTATCCTATAACCTCGCCTGCAACGGTTCAAAACCTCTGCGATAGAATATGATTATTTATCAATTTGCAAAGTATATTTATGCGCTGATGCTTAAATGAATCATAAGTAAAGAGCTAATGCTATGCCATCGATATACAAACATAATTTAAGCAAATGTTTTAATCTTAAGGTAGCGCTGTTAAGTATTGCTTCAGATGGCCGGCACGAAAATATGTGTGTCAAGCTTATCTTCCACCCGGAAGAAAAATGATCGATCTATAACGTTACTTGCAAACGACATGTATCGTTACCTTCATCGATTAATTGAATACAAATCGAGTTTTGAATGAAGACATGTATCGCTTAAGAAATTAAAACTTCTAAACTATGCTATTTTCCAACAACTCATTTTGTATGAGTTATAAATAGTTTCAACTAGGACCTATTTTCAATTGCGATTATTTCTTCCAAGAAATAATACTCGAATAGCGGCTTCTT